TAAATATAATAATAAATATATATTATATTGTAATTATATATATTATATTATAGTATAATATAATATAGTTTTAATTTTTAACTATCCACAGCTATTAAATCTCATAATTCACCAAACACTATTACACTGATTTTGAAATCAGCACAGCTACTATAATTATAGTTTACTAAACACTGAGTTGTGTTTTTATAACAGCTGTTTTTTCCTTCAGCACAGCTAAAAGTAATTTTTTAAAAAATATATAGCACTACCAAACTAGGCCATTGTGGGTTATTTTGTGGTTTTTGGTATGATTTTTACCTCGTGGAGTTGCCGAGGAATTGGCCGACCAGAGAGAGACAGAGTTTGGCTTAGTTTGGTATTACTTTTTTCTCCCAAAATGAGCTTCTGCTTATAGCAGAAGTTGATTTTAGTGTTTAATAAATCTCCTCAAAAAATACTTTTTGAAGAATATTTTAAGAATCTACAGCTAAAATTAGAAGCAGTCTAAAGACAACTTTAACTTTTAAATTGTGTGCGAATCAACATAATATAATTAATTAAACTTTCATAATACCCATAATACCCCTAATGAAATTTAAAATTTATAATATTCTCAATTTAAAATTCAGACTCGTAATATAATATAATATAATATAACATAATAGTAATATTGTAACGAATAATATCATAATTATATTAATAACTCTAATATTATTATTTTATCATATAATATGATATTATAATAATATTATAATTATTTTTTATAATATATTATATATTATATTGTATTAATATAATTATATTTATTATATTAATAATATTATTGCATTATATTATATTAATATAATATAATAATGAGTATATAATATAATATATTATATTATAATGTAATTGTAATTTTTAATTATATTAAATTGAAATATTAATATTTTTTATGTAATATTATAATATGTTTTATAATATTGTAATTATATTAACCATTTCTATTATATTATTATATTATTTATCATAGTTATATAATATGTTATTTAATAATAATTTTATTGTATTATATTAAATATAATAATAAATATATTGTAATTATATATATTATATTATAATATAATATAATATAGTCTTAATTTTTAACTATTCATAGCTATTTAATCTCATAATTTACCAAACGCTATTACACTGATTTTGAAACCAGTACAGCTACTATAATTATAGTTTACCAAACATTAAGTTACTTTTTTGTAACAGTTGTTTCTTCCTTCAGCACAGCTAAAAATAATTTTTCTAAAAATCTACAGCACTACCAAACTAAGCCATTGTGGGTTATTTTGTAGTTTTTGGTATGATTCTTACCTCGTGGAGTTGCCGAGGAATTGGCCAACCAGAGAGAGATAGAGTTTGGCATAGTTTGGTATTGCTTTTTTCTCCCAAAATGAACTTTTACTTATAGCAGAAGTTGATTTTAATGTTTGATAAATCTACTCAAAAGATACTTTTTGAAAATTTTTTTAAGAATCTACAGCTAAAATTAGAAGCAATATAAAGACAACTTTAACTTTTAAATTGTGTGCGAATCAACATAATATAATTAATTAAACTTTTATAATATCTATAATACCCCTAATTAAAAAATACATATTTACATTTATTAAATTCGTGAACCAAACATTCACTTAATTTCTCTGGGCTTCTCTAACACACGATATATTGGCATGAAAAAGTGGATTTCACGTTGGAGAAGTGCTCTAACCGAGCGTCAGATTTAGACAGCAAATGTCGTGTCATTTTTGTTTTTTTTTATTTGCAAAAATGACACAAAAAGATATTTAGGGCTTGTTCATTTGGAGTTTAACTTGAGTATAATTCTTGAGTTAAATTTGAGTTATAACTTGAGTTGAACTTGTAACTTGAGTTTGTGTTTAGTTGTGTACATTTGAGTTATGATTTGAGATAAGAATCTTTTTGAGTTTGTGTTTGAGTGAGTCAAAACTTGAATTTGTATTTAGAGAGTATTTTAATAAAAACTCAATGCTGATGAAAAATTTTAATAGGGTATATGAGTCGGGTTTTATTCGTCTTTTCGTTGTCAACGTATAAAAAAAAATTATCTCAATCATAATTAAAACGAAAAAGTTATAGCATTTTTAAGAATAGAAAAAATACTGTTCATTAATTTGAGTTCAAGTTTCTGAACTCGAGTTGAAGGGGAAACTCAAACTCGAGTTTTAGTCCTAAATTCGAGTTTGAACTCGAATTTAAACTTAAAAGAACATGAACTCGAATAAAATTGTAACTCGAGTTATATTTTTTTGAATTTTTCACTCAAAAGAACAAGCCCTTATTTTCTCTTATTACCCAAATTTCTTATTTTTCAACAAACTTTTTTCTTTTACGTTTATGTATAATTATTAAATGTAATGTTCGGTTCGCAACTTTTTTAATAATGTAAATTTGTTTTTAATTAATATATCAATAGTAAATGGGTCATTTTAATTAGGAAAATATAATTTATTAATTTTTTCACGAGTTTAGGAAATAATAAATATATTTTATTAGATTAATATGTGAAAAAAATTGTCTGTAGACATAATTCGTGTAGTAGATAAGTAGTAGGAAATTAGTAAATAAGAATATAAAAAAGAGAGATAAAAAGGAACAAACATGTAATATTATTTTCGGTGTTAGAAATGGTGTAATATGTTGGAGATAAATTTACTATGTGATGTACACTAATTTAGTGTAAAAGTTACACCATTTTGGTGTTAAGAGTTGGGGATGTTGTTCTTAATAATTTGACTACTTTAAGCAATATATTTTAACTTTTTTGAAAAACTTAAAGAATAATTTGGAGATAGTTTAAAAATACAAGAGATATTGTTTGGATTATCAAAAATACAAGGTTAAACATATAATTTACCTATAATTGAAAGTTCGGACCACCGGGCCCGGGTTGTGCCGGATGAGGCCGGGTTGGCCTGAAAGTTTATAGAGTTTTGTCCGCTTTCAAATATCTCAAAAGCTCCTTAGTATTTTTATTGCCTCACAACTCCCCATTTCA